TGCGGTGCAATCAAGTCAGCACAAGCAGGATTTGATCAAATGCCTGAAAGAGGCACAGTGTCATGGAATGCAATGATAATGGGCTATGGACTACATGGCCAAACTGATGCTGCGCTTGAGCTGTTGCTGGAGATGGAGAAGTGTGGCTCAAAGCCAAATGGATCAACTTTTGTATGCATTCTCAGTGCTTGCTCTCAGTCAGGCTCTGTGCTTGAGGGATGGTGGTGTTTTGATCATATGATTCGTGTTTATAACATTAAGCCTACAGTTGAGCATGTTGGATGCATGGTGGATCTTCTCGGCCGAAACGGTTTGCTGAAAGACAACGCGGATTTTGTGAAGGATTTGACAAAAAAACCACTGAAGGCATTATGGGGTTCATTGATGTCGTCTTGCTGGACACATTCTAATTGGGAGATTGGGAAGTTTGTCGGGAGAAAACTAATAGAAATGATGCCTGAGGAGGTTGGGCCTTATATCTTGCTGTCCAATATATGGGCGGCCGAGGGGAAGTGGGAAGAGGTGGAGAGGGTTAGAGTGATGATGGAGAAGAGGGGCTTGCAGAAGGGTGCTGGAATGAGCTTGGTTGAACTGGATAATGTCACAGATGAGAGTTTGAGGGAGGATAATTGGTTAGGTTGCAACCCAAAAAAGAGAATAGTCTACTCTCTGCTGACAGAGATGGGCAGTAACTTGAAGATGTCGTGGACAGAATTTAGTGCGAGCAAAGAGTGTGCGTGATGCATATTTGAGTTGATTCATCAAAGAAACGCAAAGCTTTGGCATTGCCTTCCTATTCTTAGTTTTGCGCATGTTGGATCATTAAGGGTAGAATGAAAATATTATTTCACTGCGTTTTCAACTATATCTCTATTCAAGCCCTACCAGATTTGCTCTTTTGTATCCTGCGCTCAGAGAGAGACAGAGTAGCGCTAGCAAACTGTCTTCCTCCTTAAACAGTGCAAGATCCCATTCCCTTGATATAGACAAAGGCCAATTTGCCAACTCATCTAAAATTTGTGTTTGCTCTCTTTTTCTTCTCTTTTCTCCTCTTCTGCTTTTTTTTGGATTTGGCAGGCTTTCTTATTCATTAGTAAGTATTATAGTATCAATGTAATGAATACTGAAATAATTAAAAGAAAGAACATTCACATTTTATATGGAAAATCCAAGATGAGAAAAATCATGGGCAGAGAATGAGAATGCATTATGTCAACAAGAAATTACAAATGAAGAGCTTCGGCTAATATAAACCAAACTAAGGAAAAATGAGATGGCTTGTACAAAACAAAAGAATATATTTGGATACCGGATTGATTTTTGTGAACACGCCTCGAGAGTTAGAGTGAAGTAAAAGAGAAAATAAAGTGAACCAAGAGCTATTGTGGAGAGGACTGGGGCAGAGTCCCCTTATTCATATTTGTGTTTCGTATTTATGGAGGCGTACTTTGTATAATTACAGAAATGAAGGAACAGTTGTGGAAATTGTTCTTAATAAGATTAATGTTCTAATAAATTGTATGGATTTCATTCTATATATGTATTATAATTTGAATTTTGATACAGTGATAATGGGTTGATCGATTCGCTAGAATGCGGTAGACTGAGGTAATCTGCTGCTAGCGACCGTACATTGTGTTTGGTCGAATGAGACGTTCGATCGAATGACGATCTCGTCTGTCATGGAAAAATTTGGTCGACCGTCCAATTTCGATCAGGGGGTTTTTGCCTGCGCTTCGTTCGGTTGGTTGGTCAACTGATGAGTCAATTTGTTTTGTCGTGTGAACCGCGACTCACTTGTCGATTTTGCTTAAGTCTTACGGGGCCTACGTCTCGTCTACCTGGTAAGTTCGTCGCCTCAGCCGAGTACCCCTATTTGCAAGGTCTTGGATGGATCTTATTGCTGCTTGTGTGAGGTATCCGATGAGACTTGCTGCTAGGATAAATTACGCCTTGCCCTCAGAGAATTTTGTCACTATCGAGCGAGAGGCCCATACTCATGAGCCTATAAAGCTCTGATACAGTAAGGGAAACACCTTCCACTACCGCTGGAGGGCCTCCCCTCATTTCCTACATGGGCGGCTGCAAAGAGATAGTTGTAACCTACGCTCTCGGGCTACTGTGACTGTCGGTACTCCCATTTTCAGGCAAGATTGACAAGTTCGTCGCAACCCTATCCTCGCTCGGAACAGGGCCCACAATTTCCCGAAGAGACCTCTTCAGCAGCCTGCCTTCAAGATCCCCGGAGGAAGCAACCTGATCAACCGACTCGGGGCCGGATGTATCCCTCTTCTCTCTTTTCACTACCTTTTTCCTCTTGTGGACAGGTGCCGTATCAGAATGTGCTAATCCCACCAAAGCCGATAGGCTCAAATCTGTTGTTGTTTTACTCGTACCACCTGACATGATGCCAATTTAGAAAATTAGAAAATATCGAAAAAGCAGCCCGGTTCCTGACTTTATTTATAAGATACGTAAATCACAAAAATAAAGAGAATTAATTATTAAATTTTCTTTATTCCTGTGACATACTAAAAATTTCTCTATTCTTATCGCAGTTGCCGCTACCAAGGAGCAAGAAAACTCGGGGAACTAATATGTATGCACTAAAACTACCGACACAAATCTCAAAGAGAGTGGACGAACAAAAATAAAAAGCTTCCCTCAAGGGCAAACAATTAACCGACAAGTCACCGCCAAACAGGTGCAGCTGTGCCTCTAAAACCGAGACTGATCAAAGCTCTGGAGATGGTTTATCGCTTGCTAGCGATAATATCTATCAAGGCCAAGGCGTAAAATAGGTGAAGTCGCGCCTCTAAAATCGAGACTGATCAAAGCTCTGGAGATGGTTTCCCGCTTGCTAGTGATAATATCTATCAAGGCCAAGGCGTAAAACAGGTGAAGTCGCGCCTCTAAAATTGAGATCGATCAAAGCTCTGGAGATGGTTTCTCGCTTGATAGGGACAAGATCTGCCAAGATCAAGGCGTAATTCATCATAGTAGCAAGTCTTATTGGATACCTCACAGACAGAGACAAGATCCGCCCAAGACCTTGCAAATAGACATATCCGATTGAGATGACAAACTGACTAAGTAGACGAGACGCAGGCCCCATAAGACTTGATTCAAAAAAGACAAGTGAGCCGTGATTCATCTAACAAAATAAATCTCTCATCAGTCGACCGACCGACCGACCGAAATGCAGATAGAAAACCCCTGATCGTGATTGGACGGCTGATTTGGTTTTACCACGACAGATAAGATCATTGTTCGACCGAACGCCTCAGTCGATCATTCTAGCAAGTCGATAAACCAATTATCGTCGTATCAAAATTCAAATTGTAATGCAGATATAGAATGAAATCAATACAATTTATTAGAACATTAATCATATTAAGAACAATTTTCACAACTGTTCCATCATTTTTATAATTGTACAAAATACACCTATATAATTAGGAGGCAAAAATGCGAATAAGAAGACTATCCCCCATTCTCTCCACAGTAACTCTTGATTCACTTTATTGTCAATTTCATTTGACTTTAACTCTGGAGGCGTATTCATAAAAGACAATCTGAGATCCAACACTACAACTTTCTGCTTTCAAAAAGTATATTAGGTTGGGGATCGGAAGTTCTGTAATTGTACAAAATACACCTACATAAATAGAAGACAAAAATGCGAATAAGGGGACTATCCCCCATTCTCTCCACAATAACTCTTGATTCACTTTATTGTCTATTTCATTTGACTTTAACTCTCGAGGCATATTCATAAAAGACAATCTGGGATCCAACACTACAACTTTCTGCTTTCAAGAAGTAGATTAGGTTGGGGATTGGAAGACACAATTATAATCTACACAGCACATCATAGATAAATGGTACAATTTGCACGAAGGAAAATAAAATGATATAGAGGCAAAAGGTCCAAAATCTATAGTTCTTGAATGAAAAAAAAAAATCCAGTGACTTTTTCACAGAGCAAGTCCAATTAATTAAAAAAAAAGCTATTTATAACTCTAGGATAATAAAAGTGAGCATTACAGAGCCACTTCATGGCTAAAAAAATATGATCCTGGTAATCCATAATACAGAGGTACTCGGATAATTTGGCAAAGCCAAAGTCAAATCCTGAAAGTAAAAAAGAAAAAAAATGATAATGTAGCTCAAGCAGACTAAACTTATTACCAAAACATAAGGATCTAAATAGCATATACTACATAGTAAAAACTAAAAACATTTAACAAACTTTTTCAAACATATAAAACGTACAAATAAGCATTACTCACAAGTTCCAGGTGTTAAATCCATGTAAAATTCAGTCATGCAGCTTTCTGCACAGAAAAGCCAAGAATGAACTGTTTGATCTCATCATTAGCTCTATCCAATGCAGTTCTGCCATCAACATCTCTGATATCAAATTTCGCGCCAGCCCTTAGAAGTTCCTCTATTTTTGGTTTGTCCCCTTCAGAGGCCGCCAGCATTAGAAGAATGTCAACAGGGTGAATTTTCAGATCCAAAAGAGCCTCCATTTTATCATATGAACCTTCCACAGCAAGCATTCCCATGTAGTTGAAATACTGCAGAACATGAGAGAAACATCCAGCTTACTTTAAAGAGGAAATAGATAAACCAAACCGGAGAACCGGAAGAAGAAGTTTGATGTTCAATGATTCAATTAAGGTTGAACGAGATGATGTAATAAATATTACGCATTGCTTCAAAACGTATTTACACGACCAAGTAACCGGGCATGAGCCACAATACAACTTTGGTCAGGATGTGTTTCAAAATTATTGAATTTGCTTTTAGAATGGTGAAATATTTGAATAATCAATTAACACTTATATTACAATTCTCAAAATAAATCTAAGAACTAAAATTATTAGATGTGTTTTGCATTAAATAGTCATATCAAACTAAAGGCCTAAAAAATAATTATAACAGCATTTACTCTCAATCTATTTTGTGAAAACCAAAGACCCCGTTAATGTTTCTTGATGACCACCAAAGCATAGACTAATATGTAGAAACTCCCATGCTTAATGATTTTCTTCGTTAAACCACTTCTGCTTTCCTTCCACTAAACACAAAAACTGGTAAGTAATGAAATAAACTAAACAAAATATTGAAAAGGTAGATAAACACACGAACAGGTTAGCCTTTCCAAGTAAAAATTATATATTATTTTAAGTTTAAAAAGATACATAATGAGTAAGATATTATGCTGCCTAATTCACTAATCTGGACAAAGGCGGGCATTACAGAGCCACTTTCTTCGATATATATGAATATTCGAGGAAAGTTAAAAACACCAACACTTACAATTCTATGCATACTTTATTTCTAGTTATACTAGGAGGACGAGTAGAATATTGAGTTAATACACCTTCATATTATTTTTCAATCATGCAATGATATATTTGTACTCTTACATGTGAATAGATGATAGAGAAGAAATATTCCTCTACATATCAATTATCTCTCTCTAGATGGTATCAAAACAACAACAAGCCCCAGTCAAGCATCCAAATCCTCTCCTTCTCACATGATTGGTGGCTCACGTAGCATCTCTCCTCCCCTTCTCCTAAAAGCTTTTAACTAACAACCCCTCTTCCTAGGCCATAGCCAAATACTCCACCCCTTCAACCCAAAAATCCGTGCCATCCCCAAACGAAACATCCATACCATCGTCAAACCGATTTGTGAAAACCCAACACTTACCATCAAAACCAACT